CGCGAACCAGGGTCTTGAAACCAAAACAGCAGACGTAGGGGAATTTAACCCCAATAATGACTTTTAACTACCTACGGGGGGACTTTAACCCTAATACACGTAGGGGACTTTAACCCCCCCTAATAAGCCTAAATATATCAATTAAAACCAGCGGCAAAATGGCATTTAAAAACAGTCATTAAAAAGCCAAGATATTAAAAGAAACATTAAAAGAAAAAAATACGTGAATAAAAGTTACAGTGCAGTTTAAGATATGAATAGCTCAATTAAAAGCAGCGGCAAAAATAAAAGTCTTCAGCCTGGATTTAAAAGTAGTCAGAGTTGCAGCGGACCTGCATGTTTCTGGGAGTTTGTTCCAGATAGTTTGAGCATAATAACTGAATGCTGCTTCTCTATGTTTAGTTCTGACTCTGGTGACAGAAAGCTGACCAGTCCCTGAATTTATTTATTTAATAAATAAATAAATAAATAAAAAGTCCTCTGCTATTCGGCAGGGAGTTTTAAAGGCTATTCATATTATCTATCACAATAAAAACCATTACAAATAGATAGGTGAAAAAATGTATGAATAAATAAAAGGTATTCAAAATCTATAAACTTAAGTACGTTTATGAGAATCGATACAAATACTATATCAGTAAATAATAGTCGTCTGTTATTTGGGGGACGGGGGGAGGGAGATTTTAAAGGTTATTAATATTTCACATTTAAAACTGACAAATGAGCCCATACAGGAAAATAAGACGGATTAATGATTACATAACTAAACAAATAAATAAACAACCTTAAGTAACAGTTTATAATAGTGTATGAAATACTAATTAAATAAATATTATCCTCTGCTATTCAGGGGAGATTTTAAAAGCTGTCTAAATGAACTATCAAGCGCTGACATTTTTATAGACGCATTCCACAGAGCCACAAAATGTTATCTTCTCAAGGAAAAATCAAAATACCATAAGGCAGATGGAGGACTATTCTGTGATTTCCACTCAAGTCAAATTCAGTGACAAGCTAATAAAGATGTGTATGTCAATATTTATCAGCTTGTCTGGCAGTAAGTGGCTCCTGGAAAACAGCTGTGACATTTCTACTTGTTCGTAACGTGGAGTGTTGTGTTCAGGTGTCGAGGAAGGGCTCTCGTGACGTGGCCGACCACATGGCCATCCAGATGGACGACTCGGACTCCATCACGGTGTCGGAGCAGAGCGAGCCGTCGGCAGAGTGTTGGCAGAACATGTACAAGCTGCTCAACTTCTACTCCCTCATCTCCGACCCCACCGGCATCCTGGAGAAGAGCTCCCCAGAGAACTGTCTGTCAGGTGGGAGTCGGCCCTGGCCACTCATCCTCTTCCTGGTGTCCCTCTATGTATTTCCATTCTGCTTCACTGGGCACAACTACAGTTTATAGCTTAATTTATCTCCTTATGTTTTGAACAAATTGTTGTTGTTCTTTGTGATTTCTCTTCTTCCTTCTATTGCTTTCAAATCTTTATTTTCTCCTCCCTCTTCCTCCTTTCCTCCTCTCCAACCTGAAGTACGCCTTTTTACTGTTTTACGACCACTTTATTGACCCTACTCTAGAAATACTATGCATTCGTCTTTATACTCATACATTTCATGTGTCATTGTACGCATGCTACCTACACAAAAGTCAGTTCTCAGTTGCTCGTATGTTGCATGCAATAATGCTTTTAATACTCTATGTTCCATTAATAATGGTAACGATAATCATAATAATAATGATAATAATAATAATGTGCTCTTAGTTTAAATGGCAAAAAACTGATTTATTTCTATTAAATACAGGCAGGAGACACATGAAGGAGATGACATTACAAAATAATAATAATAATATATATATATAGTACAGAGTTAAGGATATTTCAAATAACTACATTGACAATCTAATATGATCTGATTCCTCACAACCTATTTTGTCCCATTTCATGCTGTGTGGATGAAAATAGTCCACAGATGATGAATAGCATTATTTTGTTGGGTGAAAAACAACATTTTTAAAGCTGAATCATAGAGTCTACATTACATTTTTCTAACTAATACTGAAATACTAATACTTAACCTTTATAATTGATCAAGTATATGTTGATTGCATAGCGTAATGTAGTAAAAAGACACAGTAAGTTCCCAGTAAGCTTCACTTTCACTCTTCAAATCTGTGTGCCACTAGGTACCATAGCCTGGGATAATGAAGGCTCTATTATGGCACAACGCCATGAAAAACAAAATGCAATGCTGTGGAGTGTTTTAAACTCTTCTCCAAAGCATCTACCACTACAAACAATATATGCCATTATATGTCATTCAGCTGATGTTTACATACATACACTTAGCGCAGTGTTTCTCAAGCTTTTTCATACCAAGGACCACTTAACCAATACAAAAACACTCGCAGACCACCTAACTCCACAAATATCAAAAAACACATCGTTTTTCTAGAAGAGATTAAAAATCGCCTGAAAATGGTACAAACAAGTGGCAACATGTGTGATGAAGGTGTTGCGCTGGGCTATATCATGCAATCGAAAGTGAAACTTAACCTCGCTCCATTGCGGAGATATTCCCGCGAGAGTGCGGAAAACTTAAATGTATTTATTACGAGCCCCCCCCCCTATTTCTATTAATACTCACGGACCACTAGGGGGCGCTCACGGACCACCAGTGGTCCGCGGACCACACTTTGAGAAGCACTGACTTAGCGGATGAGCGGCAGATGATGGATGCATGGATGGTTGGATAATATACGTATCTAAATATATTCCTTACCTTTTCCCTGACCTGACAATATCTGTCGCCGATAGTAGACGCTGAGAAAAACAGAAACCTTAATGTTAGTCTTTGCGACAACTTCTACAGTGAACACTTGAAACACAAGGGACAGGAGAAGTTAAAAAGTTGTCTTTTACCACAGTAATGTATATGAATAATACATATGTGGTTCTCTACTTCCTTTTAGCTCTATTTTTTTTTTTTTTTGGTGAGGCGGAGATCTGTGTGGGAGCTCATCGGAAATAGTTGTACTTACAGGGTGTCCGCGGGGTCTTAAAAAGTATTAAAAGTTGATAAATCAATTTAGCGAAAATTAAGGCTTTTAAAAAGTATTAAAAAGTATTAAACGGCATTTTCCAAGGTATTAAGAAGTCCCACAGCAACGACAACATGAAACACCCTTTAATTTACTGAAACGACATGTCGGGAAACCCCCTCAAGGCGGCCCCCATAGCGCGCCGTAAAATGCTGCTTCTTATTTTAAGTTTCGTTGCCTTGCTCCGCTCTGTGGGGTGGGGGGGTCCCAAGGTGGGTAGACCGGCATACGCAACGCTCTGGGGGTCCAACGGCTCCGTGTGTAAGCCCTTATATGATCATTTTCTGATTACGATGAAATAGCCCGCCTCCCTCTCCCAACGTCTCCTGCTGCTGCTGGGCTGTCAGAAGAGGGGGAGGAAAAGAGATGCAGGCACCGTTTATTAAACATTATTATACAGAGAACAGAGTCGTCATCAATTTGTTTTAAAGCTCAATAAATAACAAAGAAGACCTCTGATCGGCACTTTTCTAATTTTGTACGGAAGATTTAAACTTTAACGGACATGTTGACCGGCGGAATTTTTTTTTTAACGGAAACTGTCGCACGGTTCCCTCGTTCCTTGGAAGAGGCGGAGAGGTGGGTGTTTTTCATCTGCTGGTGGACTACCTGAGAGATATACAGCAGGAGAACACGCCGTCCACCGCGGAGAATAAACAGAAGGGCAACCATGGCAACCATGCTCCGGAGTCTTCTTCGCTGCTTTTGGTGTATTTTGTGCGGCAGCAGCGCCACTTACAGGCCTGGCATATGTACTACAGCGTTTCCAGCATTTCCAGCGGTCTAGTGTGAACGGACACATTAATGAATCAAATGCGTGTGAACGGAAGACTTTTTTGCGTTTGCGTATGCGTTTTACCGTATGCGTCCTCGTGGGGCCGGGGTCTAAGCCAAACTATATCCGGTCACAGAGATCTGCTATTTTAAAGTAAAGTCAACACATATAGACCCTAAATATAGTCTATATTAAGAACGAGCAAAATCTTAACATATATATCGTTTTTTGTAAACATATGACAAATGTGTGAGGGTGATGACGTCATAGCATCGTTCTATGTGCCAGGGCTTAACCCCTGAAAGCCCCAGCCCAATTTAATCCCTGGGTATTTGTGAGGGAGCTCCTATGGCATTACCCCGCTGAAGCTCACCAAAGTTTAATATAATTCATAGTTCAAAGTTTTGTCAATTGTTTCGTTTATTGGTCAAATACTGGTTTCTAATGGTTTCTGAGGAGTTTTACTGGAATGAAAGAGCACAGAGTACAGAAGCAACAAAGCAGCATACTGCATTAAACCTGACCTTCACAGGTCAGAGGTTGAAGTTCATGTGGAAAGGAGGCTTCAGTAGTCTGTCTGCACTCTGTTTAGTTTTGCTATCTTACAATCAATATAGTAAATGGGAGGTAAAGTGTGTCGCCAATGTAACCGGTTAGAACTCAAAGTTGCGATAAGGTCTTAAAATGTATGGAAAGGGTCTTAAAAAAGGTCTTAAAAGGTATTAAATTTGACCCCAGGATTTCTGCATATACCCTGACTTACCTTCAGTCAATGTTTCCTGATAATACCTTTTGCTGCTGTAGATGCAACAACTCCCTGAGGGCTTCATTAACTATGAGAGAAGCCTGTAGTAGTGGGACACGTTGATACGATGACAGAATGAGTTCCTGTGGGACTAAACCTTGCTCAGTTATGTTTTAAACTACAGTACAGTAATTGTCACAGGTCCAAAATAGCCTCATGTTAGCAGATAGTTTTTGTATCAAGAGAACGAATAATACATTTTAAGAAGATTACTCTTATAAACAATAGTACTTATTTTGTGGCAAACAGAGGTGACGGGATGAAGTGTAAAAACTAAACGGAAGGGATGAATCGACTTTAAGGGAAAATAAAAAATGCTTTATATAAATAGTGCACTTTTACCCCTTGTGGCCAAAATAAGTATTACAACAACAAGCACTTGATCCTGAACTGAGTTATTCTTTTAAATCTCTTCTTCATGTGTATTTACCAAACTTCTTATGCTTGCAGAAGGTGGCCGCCGGCCCTCTGAGCCGTTCTGTAAAGTGATCTTTGAGAACGAGCAGCAGGACAACTCCACCCCCAACAAGCCCCCGGGCTCAGGGGGGCGGCGGCGCAGCCTGGTGAGCTCCGAGCCGCAGCACGTCACGCTCATCGTGTTCGGCATCGGCATGGTGAACCGCACACACCTGGAGGCCGACATCGGAGGGCTCACCATGGAGGCGGAGCTCAAGAAGATCCACGGAAGCTTCACACTGAAGGAGAAGATGAAAGGTGAGGCGGAGATATGTGTGGGTGCTCATCGGAAATAGTTGTACTTACCTTCAATTCCCTGGTGTGTAAAGAAAAAAGCCCTGTGTTTTTTTTGTAGTCTTAAGTAGTGATGGGAAATATGGATTATATCAAATATCATGATATTTTGGACCAAATACTTTGATATTGGTAACGTACAGAAGAGTTCTGAGAAAAAGTAAGAATTCTGAGATTAAAGTCAGAGAAACTTTTACTGTGATTTTTTTAATTTATTTTTTCTGAATTCTGAGCTTTTCTCAGAATGCTGACAATTCGACCGTAACCATAATGTCCATTCATTTGTTGGATCACATCACAGTTTATTCTAACAGAGTTAATATACCTAACTCTTCTCCTTACTTGCACAATTATTTATAATTCAGTATTATTTCCCTCCCTTTAATGCCTTCTTTGTTTGAATGTTAAAGTTATTGTTGGAGGATCCTGGGACTTAAGATGTTCATGGCCAATGTCAAGCTGTAGCCTTGTTGCGTACTGTATGACGATGAAGCTTTTGAATAATTCGAAAATGAGTCTTTTGGATGAATTCCATTTTAATAAACAACATCTGTAGACTTTGGCCTTGAATTGTTTTTATCATATATTCTTCTTTTCAGGAGTTTTAAGATATACATTCTAAAGCAATCGGCAAAAAAAATCATTTCATTTCTGTCTGGCAGATAGCAATTCTGATTCAAAGTGAAATCTGTTTGATGTAATCTTTCTTTTCATTTTTTTGTCCACAGATATCCTGCACCAGAAGATGACAGAGACGTGTGCCTCTGCTCACATTGGGGGGGTAAACATTGTTCTCCTGGAGGGCATAACCCCCGACATCCAGTACGTACAATTTCTCTTTAACGTCTGTTTTAAGAGTGGTGCAGCGATGGCTTTTCAGAATATTTCAGGAAACAAATCTCTGGCAAACAATTATGATACTTACACATTTTGTTCAGCAGGAAAATATTCACAATAACATATCTTTTAACCATAAATCAAAGTAGAAAGCTAACCTAATTCTATAACTAACTACATCACAATCGCATGCCTTCACGTCACTACCGCTAAGCTAAAGGCGGCTAATGTTTAGCGTGATGAGGTTTAGTAGTCTCGTTAAGCCACTTGTTAGCAACAACCGTTTCAAGACGCGTAGAAGCTTCAGACATTCACGAGTGGGGTAATTACTGACGTTTTCATGTTGTAGAAAACAAATTGAGAATATCTTCAGCTTGTGTAAACCACAAACCTTTTTTCAGGCTTCTAACCAATAACACGTTCAGAAACATGTCAACTTCAAGACAAAGGAACCAAAAGTGATGAAATTCTAACTCATTTCCAAGTTTTAAGACTCATTCCTGCACCACCAACTGTTGTCTCATCTTGGAAGAACTGCTTTGAGAAGAAAGTTTACCGATCATTTTTAACAGTGTATTCCTCCAAAACCTTGCTTTCTGAAGTTTGAAATCAGTTTTTTTTTTTTTTACTATGTTTCAAAGATACATCAACTATTGGATTTACCTGCGGGAAGGATTTTGAACTTCTCAGCTCAAAAGTATTATTGAAACATGTATTGCCTTATTTAAGATACCCAAACAAGAGGTATCTAAATAGTGAGTGTTGTCAAAGAAGAATATCTCAACTTATATAAGAACACAGCAACAGAACTCGCACATAGATGCTTTATTGTCGACTTCCTTAGTAAGTGTCATCTAAAGAGCGGATGCAGTGTTTTCCACAAGCGTTGCCGCTCTGCGTGAGCCAATTACAGAGTCCTTCGCAGCTGGGAAATGTTAAGAGTAGTTTTTGTTTTCACAGCGAGCAATTTCCTCAAAACATAAGCACCCTAATGAAGTTATAAGCCTTGTAGTCATGCACGGAGACAGACTGATGCATCTCCACGCTGCTATGATTCAGTTTCTACTGCTGCTTCAATAAGAAGCTTTTTTTCATCTTCTATTTAACAGACACTGTGAATATAAAACTAACACTTAATCCTATTTTCATACTGTGTGCTCTCAACTGCACTTGTGTCTTTACATTTTTTACTTGGTGCTTTGTAGTTGCTACTGATGTGTTAAACTGTCCCACATTCAGATGTATATAAGAATGATCAACGTAAATGAATGACTAAGACATAGTAAGTCAATATTCAACAACAGTCTCCAATAAAGTCTGTCGGGTCCCTGTTAAAGAATTGTATCTGCAATGATGGCAGACTTTTTCTTCAAAATCCAGATGCAGTTTTCTGGCAAAAAAATGTAACTGTGGTTATCCTTGAGGGCTCATTTTATTGTGGTTAGAATGTAAGTTCTTTATCAATCAACAGCCTAATAAGTTAATTACTAAGTCATAACTATCAGATCGTGTCAGATAGAAAGATCCAACTAGGAGATAAAAAGTTATATTTAAGCGATACAAAGTAGTAATTGTTAGATAAAAAGTCTGAATTAGAAGATACAAATCTAATTGAGATTACGTCCTGATTATAAAATAAAACGTCATTTTGACGGAATAACTTGAGAATATGACATTTAAGAGTTTTTATGAGATGAGTCCAAAATAATGAGATAAAAAGTCAGAAATATGAGATTATGTCTCAATGATGAGATAAATAGTCAAAATGGATATAAAAAGTCGCTCAAATGTTGTGATTGAAAGTTATTATTACAAGATGAAGTCACAATTATGACATGATGAGATAGAGCAAACCACATTTTCCTTTTGAAATGGCTTGAATAAAACTTTTTTTTCAGTTGATGGTGTCTCTGAACTGTTTCAAACTTTCTTCTGCTTTTCTTCTCCTTTTTGTTTTTACTTTTCTTTTTCTTCAAACTACTTGCATAGACTGGAGGATTTCCCAACATCTCCCACCAGCACAGCTAAACAAGAGTTTCTGTATGTTATTGCTACCATTCAGGGCTCACATCCATTAGTCAATGGAAACACAGCTGCCCTGATTTTACATCCTATATTTGTCTTAGTCCCCTTCATCCGTGTGTATTTGCACTGAACATTTTCTCACGACTCCCCTTAGTAACTCTACGGAAGTCAATTAGGGCCACATGAAAAACATGTATTGAGTTCCGATCAAAAGTGATTTCTTTTTTTGGGTTCTGAGATTAAAGTCAGAATTGTCAAAATGATGAGTTAGAATTCTGACTTCAATTTCAGAATTCTGGACTTTAATCTCGTAATTTACTTTTTTCTTCAGAATTTCAACTTTTCTCTCAGAATTCATACTTCAATCTCAGAATTCTTACTTTATTCTAAAATTGTCAACGAGTTCTGGTTTTATTCTCAGAACTCTGACTTTAATCTCAGAATTGACCTTTTCCTTAGAATTCTGACTTTTTTCTCAGAACTCTGATTTAAATTCCAAATTCTGACTTTTTTTCCAGATTTTATTCTAAGAACTTCAAACTTTTTTCAGAATTCTTACTTTTGTATCCAACCTAAAAAAACACTTTTGGTCAGAACTTACGGTGATACTTGTTTTACATGTAGCCTTTATTCTCTTCTATATAACTGTGTGTGTGTATATAGCAACGTTCCACCAACTGTACTAGAAACCAAAACATATATAAACAAATGATACTTTAGTCATATAATTTCTTTTATATATGTGTGGAATATGCAATGTTTTCACATTTTAATTTACAAAAACATATGTAACATTTTTTGGGGGTTATTGAAATAGGAAAACATAATGAAATATGGGTAGTATTTCTGCCAAAATACTGAAAAATCTTTCAAGCATTCTGATATTTCTGAATATTATACTAGTGTTATTAGTATATTTCAGTATTGCTTTGCATTTTGGCCGTATCGAACGTGTACCATTCATTACCTTCATTCATAGTGGAACATGTGTCACCGTTCTGATTGCGAATGCCCAGGAAAGCGAATGCTGTCCTGAATCTGCATGGTGTCTTACTGTTTGATGTCTTCTCAATAATTCCACTGAATCCATTCATATGTCAACTTCACCTGCCGAAGGTTTTTTATTTCACCTCTATGAAATTAATTCAATTTTTTCAGAACCGTGGTCAAATGCAACATCGCCAAGTCCCAGGCCCTGTACAGCGCCCAGCGAGGACTGAGAACCAACAACGCAGCCGTCTTCAAAGTGGGGGCCATCATCATCAACATCCCCCAGCACCCGGCCACGCTGCACAGCATGATGGTTCGCAGCTCCCACCAGCTCTCCAAACAGATTTCTGACCTCATCCGCCAGCCATCCAATGCGTACGTCCTCTTTTTATATCTGTCTTTAACGTCTCATTAAAAGCTAGTAAGCCTTGGGCCTCACTAGGTACAGTAGACAGGTTTATGGCTAGCCCTTACCCTATGGCTTTGAACATGACATTTGTTTTTACAAGGATGTCAGGTTTCCTTTTGTTTAGTTTTATTACATTTTGAAAGTCCAACCTCTATAAAATAGTCTATAATATAGTGGGTAACCATAATCTCAGACATTTAGCGATAAAAATGTCCCCAGTAACTTAGACACATCAAAACCACACAACTTGATCCCATGGCCATAGCAGCATGAAATCATGCATTTTATTATACCCAGGCTTTCAATCTAGAACTCTGGTTCAAATTGGAGGGTGTTCCTTTTTCCACCAGATTGGCCCAGTTTGCCCTAAGGGGCAGATAGAGTGGTCCAGCCCAGATAGAGTGGTCCAGCCCAGATAGAGTGGTCCAGCCCTCAAGGTAGAATTTCTAGGGCTCCCTCTACAAAAAGCAAAGGGATTTTCCATTGGATTTTGGAATATTGCAGACAATAAGATCTATGGCAAATGCACATTCATGATACTTATATGTTTTCATCATCAGGATAATCCCTCACATTCATCCATCCACAAATTAGCACTACCTTTGGGATTTTTTGAAGCGTAAATGCAATTACCAGAAGCAAAAAGCTTACGATAAGATATAAACAAACTACATCAAGGTTGCATGACTACGCATCACCACCACCAAGCTTAAGGCGGCTAATGTTCAGCGTAATGGCGTTTAGAAGTCTCATTTAGTGACTTGTTTGCAAACGCTATTTTTATGACAAATAGACACTTCAGACATTGTGTGGGGGTATTTTGTTTATGTCATAGATTAAAACGTTAATATCTCTTCATCCTAGGTTGCCCACAGACCTTATTTCAGGCATATATAAACATAATCATATAAAGCGGTTGGCTTGGAGACGAGCAAACCAGAAGTTGTCAAATTTTATCATTTCTGGGTTTGAGGACTCATTCCTGCACCACTCTATACATGTCCCTGTAGTCTACTAAGTTCATTTCTGCTGTATTATATATTTGACAAAATTCATCCAAACTTATGTTGTTGATTGTGAAAAAATCCCTCTTATGTTTATTATACAGAACATAACATGCCGTTAGTCAAAATGGAAATTAAAATAATTTATAATGGCAGATTTCCCCCTATAAGGATATGTGATATACTTTTTAAAGGGAGATGTAAAAGGGTTCAAAGCAATTAAAAGCGGACTCTTAAATATTTGACCTGTAACTATATTCAAATCCCTGCATGCATCCATCATGCGACACACTACTGCCATTAGTGTGTGATGTACACTTCATAACAACCTCATAAGAAGTCTTTCATCTCCATAAGTAACGGGTTCCTGCAGCACATTCACAGTGTTGCCAGTTAACTGCTTTCAAAGCCTGCATGTGGTCTGTTTCCATGGTAATAGTGTGAATTATGTTAATATATTTATAGAGTTGTAGGTATGCTTAGGATATTAAACAACTTTTGCTATCATTTGATGTTCACAGGAAGATGAACCAGTGATAATAAAAAAACACACAACCACACACACACACACACACACACACACACACACACACACACACACACACACACAAACCCATACACCGATGCACAAGTAACTACATCAATGCTATAGTATTCAGTTTGTTACTGACGCAATAGCAAATCCTGCCCAGAAAATAACATAGCAACAGTTGCTTGATAGAGCACCACCTCCATATTTTCAAAGTCAACCCTTTTAAATAATGTGTTTTTCCCCCCCTCACAGTCAACCTCCTAATAGGGAAGACACCCCCATTCCGCAACCCTCTGAAAAAGCATCCAGCATCAATCAGACCCCCGTGGAAGCTAACGAGTTCCCTCAGCTCCCCGAAGGCCTGGAGAAGAAGCCCATCGTGCTCAAGTTCAGCGCTATGATGGACGGCATCACCATCGGGGCCGCCCTGCTGCCCTCACTGAAAGCCGAGTACAAGATGGGCCGCATGAAGAGCCATGGCATGACGGGTGAGTGTGTGAGAGGATCCCTCACATTGATTCCCACAATGACGTAAAGAAAAGACAGATTTCACATACCATCACACATTAAATGTTGTCCCCATTATTGTTAAAAATTGACTTTGAGGCATATAATACCCAGAATGAGAAATAGGGTATGGCGAACAGTGGTGGTTTCTGGGAGGGCAGCCACTTTTAGAGAATAGACGAGTGTTTTGACGTATTTTTGTAAGCCCACCCCGGAGGATTTGCAGAACAATTTCAACAGATTAACAGCACTTGTATGATTTTTGAAGCGTAAATGGAATAACCAGAATTAAAAAGCTAACGTTAGGCTACAAACAAACTACATCATGGTCATATAGGCTGAATCCTGTTCTGCGTAATGATGTCAAGTAGCCTCAGTAGTCTCAGTCTCATCGTTTTTGGTAGAAACCGCAGTTTTTATGACACAAAGAGGCTTCGGACATTCACCAGTTTAGGTATTTACTAACAGATTTTTAACAAGGTAAATCTCTTCATCTTGTTTTAACCACTTACTTTATTTTTTCCGTCTAAACGTCAAACCAACACGTTAAAAAAAAGGTTGACTTTGAGATGAGAGAACCAGAAGCGGTACAAAGCTAACTAGTTTCCGGATGTTAGGACTCCACCGCTCTATAGCAATGGCAGAAGAGTCAATATTCCCTTTACTAATTCTGCTTTCTTGTTTTAGGGGCACAAACCAGCTTCACCTTCGAGTTGCCGAACCACAAGCTTTGCTTCCAGTCCAAAGTGTCCCCGGTGGACATGTCCACCATGCCTCCCTCAGCCAGCCTCACCCTGCCTCCGGTCACCATGTCAGGGGAGTACATCATGGAGGACCACGAGAGCCACTCGGACCAGGGCTGGGCCCCCGACGACTTCCCAGCAAAGCAAGGGAACTACCTGCAGGGCAACTACCTGCGCTGTGTAGCCGAGGTAAGAAGGAGAGAGGCTTCACAGTGGAATGCCAGGAGACTTAGGAGAAGCTAACTGAGCCCCTCTTCTGCTAGGCAACAAAAGTCTGACCGTTGTCTTTAGTGCTGAAGGTTTGACCGCCTTTTGTTCTGGGACACTCTGCAGCAGTCATTACTGTTATTACATATGAATAAATTACTTCATGCACATTTTAACTTATCTTATGTTTAAATTCATTTTTTTTTTACAACGTATTATGTTTATTTTTATATATTTTGCCCATTCTTATTATAATTTATTTTGTTTATATACTTTTTTTTTTGTTGGCAGGGAGAAACGTGTCTCTTGCCCCTTTCAACTGACTTTGCTTACAGGCATATTTCTTCTGTAAAAGGCTGTTAGATGGATTAACAAAGCAGCTGATTTGAACTTCTCTTCTTTGATTTGCAGATCGGATCATTCGAGCACAACCTGACCACAGACCTGCTCAACCACCTGGTGTTCCTGCAGAAGGTCTTCATGAAGGAGGTCAACGAGGTCATTCAGAAGGTCTCAGGTACTGTCTGAACAACACACTTATCTTAACAGACAAAAAGTGAAACCTGTACCAAACTGCATCCATTTATTTGCTGCTGGAATGGCCCAGTTTTCCTCTTAAGATCAATAAAGTTAATCTAATCCTAAACATCCGATTGTTCCTGACAATATTGTGTAGCCTACAGCTGCTATATAAGTCGATGGGAAATATTGCTTTCCTCACCACACAATGCCCAAGGCATTCAGTCTTCCCACAACGGTATTGATATTAATTTGTTTATCTCGCTAAGCTTCATCGATGTAATTGCCCAGGAGAGAAAACTAAGCCTTTTTACGGGAAAGTATAATGAAAACGGTGTGTGGTAGCCATTCAGGCCACATACACAGGTACTCAGACAACATAATCCCCCTTTATCACACATTATGGAGCTCTTCACAACCTGGGAGGGTGCGTTAATTAGGTTTTGTGCAAAGGCTAAAATCCCTGTGTTCCCTCCCACACACACACATACATAGTGACATTACACGTTTCTATTGGCTATTGCTCCAACACATTGTAATCGTAATAGGCTAAGGGGCGGGACATCTCTAAGCAGTTAACCAATCACAACAGAGCCAACCAGCTAACCAATCAGAGCAGACTGGGCTCTGGTTTCAGACAGAGGGTGAAAAGAGGTGCTACAGGCAGGATGAGAAATAACAACCTTTTTGAACATTAAAGCATCTGAATATTTCACTGCAGAGGCTACAAATACAAATGTAAACCTGAAACTGAGCATAGTATGTCCTCTCAACAAAAAAAATAAAAAACTTGTCAAGTGTTGTGAGGTGTAATCTTGTGATCGTAATATATTGATTTATGTTATCCTGCTACTTATCCCCATTTCGTTTTAAATGTAACAATATCTAATAACATCTTTTTTAAGCAACACTAAGGGAATACAGCTATCTTTTTTTTGCCTCTAGATACATCACCCCATTACATGTAATCAGTTACTCCCCTAGCCTGTTCACAGCAGTGTGTGGACCTGTGAGGCTGACTTGTTTTCTCTCTATGCGTACAGGAGGAGAACAGCCCATCCCGCTGTGGAACGAGCCCGACACCTCCGCAGACGCAGACAAGCCAAAAATCCTGCTTTATTCTCTCAGCCTCATGTTCAAGGTATCTCTTGTTCTCTGTCTTTCAACTTTAAAATCAAAGACACCTCAAACCTTCAGCCCAGAGCAAGCTTGTACTTCTGAGAACAACAGTTAACATTAGTTAAAGTTTTAAAAGCAAACATCGTAGATAATTCACATTCACATTTTGGATCCAAACCTTTTAAGTTCCTACATTTACAAAAAAAGGGTTTCTCTCTAGAGATTTTAGTATTATTGAAACTTTTAAAGGTGACCTATCATGCAAAATGCACTTTTGTACGTCTTTTATACATGAATATGTGTCCCCGGTGTTCCAGGGAACTCACCAAGTGTCAGAAAACACAACCCTCTCTATTTTCCTCCATACCCAAATCTCTCTTAAAAGGGGGCTGCAACGGATCTGATACAGACTGATACAGATTTGAACACTTCTGTGACGTCACAGAAGTGGCGCTACGGCTATTGGGCCAACTCCACCAATCAGGAGGAGACAGCCACGGACATTGCCTTTCGAAAGCGCTGGAGATGCTGTAGTACATATGCCAGGCCTGTAGATGGTGCTGTTCTCACAGAATCAGCCCATGAAAAGACGGTGTTAAATTGAGCGAAATGAGGAATGGCTAAAATGCATGATCTGTTTGGTATTTTGAAAAATAAAAAGTATAAATATGCCTTATATAGGTATGGTCCCACACTATATTATTCAAATATAGCATGATAGGTCCACTTTAAGTTAAGTTTTGATGTGTTTTCTGAATGCTATGTTCTCGCTCCCAGGGGATCCAGATGACAGCCACCACTCCTTCCATGCGTGCTGTGCGCTTTGAGACCGGCCTCATCGAGCTAGAGCTGTCCAACAGGATCCAGTGCAAGGCTCAGCCCGGGGGCAGCAGCAGCTACCTGAAGCTGTTCGGGAAGTGCCAAGTGGATCTCCACCTGGCTCTGGGACAGATAGTCAAGCACCAGGTACAGATCAGTCTCTTGTTAGTGAAGTAAAATGTGTATGTTGATTGTGTACGGAGTTCCCATCTTACATTAGCGTTTACAGAACAGTTCAAACATTAGGTACGATTTGGTGAAAAAAACCTATTTATTATTCACATTATCACTGAACTATATTAAAATGATCATGGTATGAGTTTTTTAAGAGGAACTCAACCAAACAAATCTGTTTTGGCAATTCTTTAAAATACAAAATCCCAACATGGTGTTAATATGTGGAGATGATCCTCTTGGGCTTGATTATACTGTCATAGTTCTCAGCGTGACGCACTTCCTCTCTTCACTTCACAGGTGTATGAGGAAGCTGGCTCAGACTTCCACCAGGTGGCGTACTTCCGAACGCGAATCGGTCTGCGGAACGCTCTGCAGGAGGAGATCAGCGGCTCCTCGGACAAGGAGGCCGTGCTCATCACGCTCAACAGGCCCATCGTTTTCGCCCAGCCAGTGGCGTTTGACAGAGGTTAGTTTCACTTTTTCTCTATATCACCCTCTGTCTGAAACCAGAGCCCTGTTTGCTCTGATTGGTTATCTGGCCCGGCTCCCTCTGGAGGGAACTTTGGGATTTTGGCCTTTGCAGACCATTTACATGCACAAAAACCTATAGAACACACTACAGGAAATGTTAATTAAAAAAAACATAAGAGGGCCTCTTTAAGCATAGTAAGACACAATAACAAACGAACTACGAATCAAGTGACAAGTTGAAAGAAAACATTATATTTCTGAGTAGAATCCTTTCCATTAAGTTGTCAGACACTTAGTATTACCAAGTGTAGTATCTAGTCGATGTTCATTGAAGGTGCGTAAATACCCTATAGCAGCGGTTTTCAAAGTGTGAGGCGCGCCTCCCCTGGGGGGCGCCAGAGAGCTTCAGGGGAGGCGCAGCGTGAGACACAAAAGAACGAGAAAAAGACGAGTAAAGTGACACTTGCCCACTTGTGGCTGTCTGTGGGGACCGAGTTCCCCCACCTCGCCAAAAAGGCTGGAAAAGTGCTCATTCCCTTCCACCTACCTGTGTGAGTGCAGGTTTTCCGCATTGACTTTGATCAAAAGCAAGTACCGGTAAAGGCTGCAGCCAGAGTATGATCTGCGTTTATTCCTGTGTGCATCAAAGACGCAGACTCATTGTTCCCACTAAAGTAGGGGTGAGTGTAATAAGGAGGCAAAGTTGACGTTCAGTGTGTTGCCGGGAGCATATAAGGATTTATCCACCATGTTGAAAATGAAAAAAAGATGTCTTGAGAACAAGGCGTGCGGAAATATACGGGTCGTGCTGCAGCTAGATGTGCCTGTCCTCTGTAAGAAGGTGTCGGCGACTGACATGCAAGGAAGAACGGCTGTCCACAGGCTGTTCCAACTTTAACAACTGTATTAACTTCCAGGGTAGGGAATTGAACATGCAATTGTAATTGGGTGTGTGGTATATTTTCATGCACGGACACGCATGTTCCACAACACACAAACTGAACAACACTCAATTTTCCGATCGCTACCAGTGTCCTTGCGATCTTGTAATAACAA